CTCTTGGCTACTCTTTACCAATGAATAGTGGGATTGACCGTCACATTATAATGCACCCACGGCTGAAAGGGCAAGGATATTTGGTGTGACAGGGATTCAAACCCGCGACCCACAGATTGCGAGTCGTGCACCCTAACCACCTGGCCATGCCGGGGCCCTGCAGAAATGTTCAAATACTTTCCTTTTATTTGTGAACTTTACCATCGGTCAACAATACAAATTGTGCATCTTTCTATTATTTGTCAGTTGCTTTTTAGTGCAGTTATTCAATAACTTTTAATTGTTCTTTCTTTTCCACAGATAAACAAATCTGTATCGCTCAGTATCGACGAAGGCTCCATGTGTGTGTGTGTGTTTTTTATATGTGTTTTGCTATAGATTAATTTCCTATTTTATTGTTTCTTACATATGCTTTATGTTCCTGCAATCTGTATTTTAAGTTCCTTTCAGTTTAACCAATCATCAGTACAACAAATCTAGGTTACTGTATAGGTGTACAGAAGGTGTTTTGTTTTAGCCAGTGAACACATTACATTTGAGACTCAATAAAAAAGGTTTATACTTAGGATGAACAAATATACAGAGGAAACAAATTACCTGTCTATATATAAGCTTACGGCCAGTCATCACATGGGATGAGTACCTGTCTATACGTGGGCTTACAGCCAGTCATCACATGGGATGAGTACCTGTCTATATATAAGCTTACAGCCAGTCATCACATGGGACGAGTACTTGTCTATTCTATATATAAGCTTACAGCCAGTCATCACATGGGATGAGTACTAGTCTATACGTGGCCTTACAGCCAGTCATCACATGGGATGAGTACTTGTCTATATGTGGGCTTATGGCAAATCTTTATATAGGATGAGTATTTGTCTGTACGTGGGCTTACAGCCAGTCATCACATGCGATGAGTACTTGTCTATACGTGGGCTTACAGCCAGTCATCACATGGGATGAGTACTTGTCTATATGTGGGCTTATGGCAAATCTTCATATGGGATGAGTATCTGGCTGTATGTGGGCTTATAGCCAGTCATCATATGAAATGACTACTTGTCTGTATGTGGGCTAATGGCAAATCTTTATATAGGATGACTACCTGTCTATATGTGGGCTTATGGCAAATCTTTATATAGGATGACTACTTGTCTATATGTGGGCTTATGGCAAATCTTTATATCGGATGACTACTTGTCTATATGTATGCTTATGGCAAATCTTTATATAGGATGAGTACTTGTCTATATGTGGGCTTATGGCAAATCTTTATATAGGATGAGTACCTGTCTATGTGTGGGCTTATGGCAAATCTTTATATAGGATGAGTACCTGTCTATGTGTGGGCTTATGGCAAATCTTTATATAGGATGAGTACCTGTCTATGTGTGGGCTTATGGCAAATCTTTATATAGAATGAGTACCTGTCTATATGTGGGCTTATGGCAAATCTTTATATAGGATGACTACCTGTCTATATGTGGGCTTATGGCAAATCTTTATATAGAATGAGTACTTGTCTTTATGTGGGCTTATGGCAAATATTTATATAGGATGAGTACTTGTCTATATGTGGGCTTATGGCAAATCGTTATATAGGATGACTACTTGTCTATATGTGGGCTAATAGCAAATCTTTATATAGGATGACTACCTGTCTATATGTGGGCTTATGGCAAATCTTTATATAGCATGACTACTTATCTATATGTGGGCTAATGGCAAATCTTTATATAGGATGAGTACTTGTCTGTATGTGGGCTAATGGCAAATCTTTATATAGGATGAGTACTTGTCTGTATGTGGGCTAATGGCAAATCTTTATATAG